TCAGCCTTCAACCCCTTCATGAATTATTTGAAAAGAGTGTAGCTTTAAAATAAGAGGACAATACTCGGATTGGTGAGAAAAATAAAAGGGGCAGCTCCAACAAAGATATGCGCAGATGCAACAAAACAGCTGGCTTTCGTACCAACTCCGAAAACCACAGAATGAATCTCATACCTTTCACAGCCGAATTCTTTATTCAGATCAATTAGAATCGGGTCGTTGACATAGGCGTTACGCCATAGTACTATCAATTCGTCTCTTACTGGGATAGATTCTCGCGTTTTTTTCTAAAAATACTACTGAAAATTGGAGCAAACAAGGATGTGTCGTAAATTCATTTCCCCAAAAAACAGGTGAAACGAGACACGCAACAATGCGCCAGGACAGAAGACGCTGCCTGCGGCATAAAATGATTAAACCGAGTGCTTCTAAGAAGAAGGCAAACAGATGCAGCGAGATCAAAGCAAAGCAGAAGGAAGAAGCTGTGAGTGGAGTCGGTAACGAGGACAAACGAAACGATGTATTAGCAGCTGAAATGCGTGAATCTAATGCCAAACAAATAATGAAAAACATAGCTCCAGCTCTTGAAATTGGCTTTTCTCCTTTTCTGGAAACGAAAGAAATTACCAAATTGTCGATCAGGTTGTCGGTGGCAAGTTGAACTGCTCTGTTTTGGTCCTCTTGAAAAAAATCCGATCCATCAGAACCCAGAAGTGAAGCGTATGTGAAATCTGTAGCAGTAAACTTTACTATCATTCATTTTTATGAAATGCAACTGGAATCAGCTGAAGTTGTTGTTCAGTCCTGATGAAATCTGTGAACTCAAAACTCACTAATTTCATAAAAACTATGAACAAATATACAGTTAGAAAAAATTTGATCTAAAACGACATAAATGCATAGTTAAAAAAAAAAAAAAACATGACCTAGACGATTTAAAATCTCTAACTTTCAGGTCATTTAAAAAATATTTAAAAAGACTATCTAGGCGAAAAAAAAGAAATACGTAAGAACACTAGTAAACTGTGTTGATAATCATATCACTTAAAGTGCTAGGAAGCCAAAGCAAACCGTGGCGGCAACTCGTCAGCAAAGTATCACAATCTTAGCCCATATTTATCTTTCATATCTCACGGTCTAGGCATCTTGCGCAGTCGATGCAGTACAGGCCAAAGCAACAATTTTTAAAGAGGAAGCAGCGAAAATTACCATCAAGCGCTTCATCCGCTTTGCCGAGGCTCAAATAAGCTTTCGCTCGACGCATTGAAGCCTTAAAATAACTCGGATCCAACTGCAGTGCAGTGGTGCAGTCCAAGACTGATCGATCCGCATCGTTCTGCAAATTTCATCACAACGCCTCTTAATTGGGAAAAGAAATACACAGAGAAGTGTCACAAGAGCAGTCGATCCCAGTGACAACACAAGGCGTCTCCGGATAACGTGGAAGGGAAAAAATTTAAAACAGAAACGTTACAATTCTATCGTAGGCAGCAGCGCGATTCTGGTAGCAAACGGCCAGATGTTTTCGGCATTCCGGAGGACAAAGCGAGATGGCCACAGTGAATGCTTCGATAGCGTCCACGAAGGAGCCGTCCTTGAACAGCTGGTTGCCTCGGACCTTCATCTCCACAGATCCGCGCAAGCCTGCAAACAGAATCGCTGAGGTGAAAGCTCGCCCAAGATGGTGCATGCGCCAAATGAAGTAAATTACCAGGCATCGGCACCGGGCTGCTGTTATCCGACTGGTCGCCGCTTTCTCCATGCGCATTTTTCTGCAATTTGCTTCGATGTTTTAGTGTCAAATGATCGCAGTTTTTGCGCAACTGCCCCCAGCCTAGGCCACGACAGCTCACTGCCTATCGCTGTTATCAGCTTGCATATTTTTATTTAGCCAGCAACCAACTGATCGCGCAGAGAGAAGCCCGATCGCTGTGTTGAAATTTCGTCCCTGGCTCCAACGATGGCTCACTGTGAAACGCTGCACATTTATTCAAAATGCAAAAATCTAACGGCTTTGCGTCGAAGATACCAGCAGAGCGCAGCCCCACTGGCCAGGCATGCGCCACCCACGATCACCCAACGACCCCATCGTATCTCGCTTCGGACTGGCACCACGTTGAGCCCCATGCCTGAAATTTTCTCAACACGCCGCACTTCAACGCTACACGGAACAAAAGCAGCAACACCTTAGCAAGACTGGGCAATTCGGCGTCCCCGTCAGTGAAGTGGGGGCATCCGGAAGCATTTCGCAGCTGGCAAATGCTAACAGCAACCACACGCCGGCAAGGCTGTCGGTGGCTCTCTGCTCCGGGGGCTGCCTACAAGCAGCTGGTGGCGAGCGGGTTTAACTCCTCCGCATGTCTCAGTACTAATTTACCCTGTACACTGTTCGGTCTTGTACGTCTTAGGCAGCACCACATCTCTCATTCAGCATACCCTCATCGCAGGACTGCGCTGCCATTCCGGGTGCTGGCTAACTGTGCCACTTCCTCCTGCCCCTTCGCTTCGTGCCATTTCCCCATTTTCTTGCTTCGCTTTAACGTCTCCCCAAGCCCCTCTCCTCCAAGACAGTGTCCCTCATTACCGTCTACGTTGGGCAAAGTGCAGTGGCTAGCGGACGCGCTTTCAGGAGTAACTGGCCACTGTCCGGTGCTACTTTCATCAAAGGCGAACGGAAGGGCCATTCATCGACAGAGTATGAAGTCTGGCCTTTGGGCATCGGCTTTTGCTATCATCCTTCACAACCCGAATACTCTGCTCCTAGCACGCAGCTAACAGCATTCCCAGAGCTGCAGTGCTGCATCTGCTGGCGATCGCTTCGTCTACTCGGCGGAAGTTCCGCCGGCTGAAGCGCCTCGGAAAAGGATTCAGTCCTCTCGAGATATGTTAAGCAGCAGCATCTCGCTCCCAACGCTACAGCGATGGGGTACCTTGCTGACTAGGCGCCTTCCGTTGAACGCCCAGCATCTCCCGGCACTGCGATCATGCAAGACACCGACCTCACCGTAGAACGACCCCCACACCCGGCCTTACCGTACGGGGACGCTCGCGCGCACCCCGGATGTGGGGTTCGTTCTACGGTGAGGCCACACGCACGTACGCGAAGGTCCCCCACGTCCGCGCTCGACAACCTCCACACACATGCACGCAGCAC